TTGTAAGTGAGGTACATGCAGATGAGGAAATTCCATTCACCCCAGGGAGCTTTCCTGAGCCCTGGGGGACCAACTTGCAATGAGCTCCAGGCCTCTGTTGGTCCTTGTCTGTTGTTTCCATCTGCAAATCATACATCCACTTCATATAACTTGTCATGCTTAAGTGGGGCCTGTCTCAGCAGACTCGCACAAGCTGGTAAACAGTGCACAGTGAACCTGACTCACATTTCTCATCTATGCTCAGGACATGTTCACTTAATCTTTTCATCTCTAATCTGCTTTTAAGGTTTCCATGGGCATCTGAGCCAGCCATGTCTCTCATAGAATCCTACTCCCTGGGATGCCAGCACATTGCCACTGCCCAGCAGGTACTGCATTTACCCTCTGGTCACCAGCCTGGGCATCAGGGAGGCACCACTGGAAAACGGTGGCCTTTTCTCTCCATCATTCTATTGTGACAAGCCCATGGGCAATGGACTCAAACAGAATTAAGTCCAAAACTCCAATCTGCCACTTTGTGATTTTGGATAAGTCACCATTTTTCTAAACCTATATTTAACCAGCTATAAAAAAGTGGGTTAATAGTAGCCCTGAAGTGATAGTATATGTTTCAGAATTAAATGAGAAAACATATGTAAAGCCATCAGAAGGATAATTAGCCCATTTAGTAAGCATTCGATAAAGATTAGCCACCAGAATTGTGAACAGAACAACTATTGATGTCAACCAAGTTATTATAAACAATTATTGATGTCATCAGAGATGAATATTTCCTCTTCTGTTCTCTACTACTGAGTTCTCAGTCCTAGACCCGGGTTTCTCTTAATCCTATGATAGTAACATTTTAAATAAGAACTTCAGTCTCTTTCCATAGTCACTGATTCTTTATAGTGACATTTGTCCCACCTGCACATGGGACTCTGTGTTTACTGAGGTATGGACATAGGAAAGGAAACTTACTATTCCCTTTTTTTATATATATTTGTCTGACTACCTAAACACTGGCATTTATTTTGATTTTTTTATGTAAAGGTACAAAACATGCTCCTGCTATTACTTAAGACGTGTGCATGAAGAAAATATTTGTTTTTTCTGAACATTTGAGCCAGACAAACACACTTTCTGGTGATAAATTTTGCCCCAATGGCTTTTTCTGATGAAGAGGCTCATGGCTTATAGTGAAAGGCTGTAGCTGCCCATATTGCAGTTATTACCATATAAATTCTTATCTCTGTCATGGATGTATATAATCATGAAAAATGCTACCTTCCAAGTAGGAATGTGCAACAGATTGGTTTGCAGAACATTATAGCATCGATAGTAATGCAATGTTTATGGTTGAATTATCTTTTTCAGTATAAGCAGGTGTAATAATTTCCTCCTAGTATGTCAGTATGAATTTTCCTAGACTTGACTAAAGGCCAAAACCAGATGATTTTGCTGGTCCATGTGAACAATCTTAGCAATCCCCTGGTATTAGTATAACTTATATATTACACTTTAAATATTCTGTCTATTCCAAGGCATAAAATAGTTTGAACATTTTTGACTCAATCAACTAATCAACTAATCAACAATTTGTGGGTTTACTTTTAAAATCTAGATTTTTGAAATCTGAAGAGGCATCTTGATGCCTAACATGCATCTTGCTTTCAAATTCAATAACCTAAATGACATCAGCTTGGAAACTGTGGATGGCATGGTGTCTCATCTCCGATGTAGGCAAAATTATCATGAAGGTGGGATCTTTATTGTTTACCATTGTATCTTCAGGGCCTGGGACTTATCCATTAATCACTTATTGAAAAGATTCACGGCTTAGTAAATACTTGTGAATTGAATTCTATTTTTCTTTGGAGATTCTCCTTTCCCCCTTGTGATCATCACCATGATCCTGTGAGCTTGAATGTCCTTGCCAAGGACGACTGTGCCTTTCCCCCCATCTTTCAGTCTGTTTCAACCCACTTGTTTGTAGCAAGCACACTCACAGTGGTACCTGTGCCATGGATATTTGCAATTAACAAGGAGCAGAAAGCCTAAAATGAAATAATAGCAATCTGACTGGTAAACTTTTAGGCAGAATGATGAATTCTAATATCTGGTCCTTCTTAGAGCCCCAGTATCACACTCATTTGTGGTCACCAACTCTCATCTGCCTAATATTGCTCTGTTTTGCTTACAAAACAGCTGGATTTAATTATGCAGGTGCACTACTGTTTTCAAATAGCTATTTTCAATTACAAACAAAATTGGGTGTTTTAATGTTTTGAATGCAAGGGCCAACCTGTATACTTTCATGTACAGCTTCTTTTACATATTTGAGTCTTGATTGCTTCTTAATGAGGTATCTCATTTCTACCAGTGGTATTAGTCAGTGTTAATATCTGGACCAGCATGCCACATATCCTAGTTCTCTGAAAGATGCTACTAATAGCTGAACCCAAACAAACAAACCACATCACTTTATTTAATACTTATATTAATTTATTTGAAATATGGTTATATATTTTTAAGTAAAATATACCAGATTTAGATTCTGCCAAGAGTAACACAGATTCCAAGAACATTGGCTTAAACGGAAGTTTGTTTCTCAAGCCTAGAGGTGGTATTCTAGCACTGCCTCTATGAAATCACCTATGATCCAGCTTACTGTCCCACCTAGCATGGAGATTCAATATTCAGGGTCCCAGATGGCTGCTAAAAACCCCGCCATCAAAATCTTATTTCACACTGCAGAATGAAGGGAAGAAAAAGGGTATTGTATTAGTCCATTTTTACACTGCTATAAAGAACCTGAGAATGGGTAATTTATAAAAGAAAAGAGGTTTAGTCGACTCAGAGTTTTGCATGGCTGGGGAGGCCTCAGGAAATTTACAATCACAGCAAAAGGCAAAGGGGAAGCTAGGCACATCTTACGTGGTGGCAGAAGAGAGAGGGCAGAGAAGTGTCACACTTGTAAATCATCACATCTTGTGAGAACTCACTATCGTGCGAACAGCATGGGGGAAGTCCACCCCCATGGTCTAATCACCTCCCACCAATTCCCTCCCCTGGAACATGAAGATTAAAATTCCACATAGATTTGGGTGGAGACACAGAGCCAAACCGTATTATTTCACCCCTGGTCCCTCCCAAATCTCCAGGCCTTCCCACATTTTAAAACCTCATTATACCTTCCCAACAGTCCCCCAAATTCTTAGCTCATTTCTACATTAACGTCAAAGTCCAAGTCCAAAGTCACACCTGAGACAAGGCTGATCCCTACCACCTATGAGCCTGTAAAATAAAAAACAAGTTGTTACTTTCAAGATACAATGGGGGTACAGGCATTCAGAAAAGGCTTCCATTCCAAATGGGAGAAACTGGATAAAACAAAGGGAATATAGGCCCCATGCACGTTTTCAAGCCAGCGGGGCAATTATTAAATCTTAAGACTCCAAAATAATCTCCTTTGACTTCATGTCTTACATCCAGGACATGTTGATGCAAGAGTTGGGCTCTCAAGGCCTTGGACAGCTCCACTCCTATGGCTCCACAGGGTTCAGGCCCTGTGGCTGCTTTCACAAGCTGGCTTTGAGTGACTGTGGCTTTTGCAGGCACACAATACAAGCTGTCAGTGGATCTATCATTCTGGGGTCTGGATGACAGTGGCTCTATTCTCAAAGCTCTACTAGGCCCAGTGCCCCAGTGTGAACTCTGTGCTTCAACCCCACATTTCCCCTCTGTACTGCCCTCATAGAGGTTCTTCATGAGGGCTCTGCCAATGCAATGGACTTCTTCCTGGACACCCAGGTGTTCTCATACATCCTTTAAAATCTAGGCAGAGGCTCCAAACTCTTGCCTTCTGTACACCTGTGGGCCTAACACCATGTAGAAGTTACCAAGGCTTGGGGCTTTACCCTCTGAATCAATGGCCTGAACTGTACCTTTGTTTTTAGCCACAGCTAGAGCTGGAGCTGCTGGGACATGGGGCACTATTTCAAGAGGCTATATGGAACAGAGGGTCTCTGGCCCTGGCCCAGGAAACCATTTTGGCCTCCTAGGCCTCTGAGCTTGTTATGAGAGAGGCTGCTGTGAAGGTCTCCCACATGCCCTGGAACATTTTCCCATTGTCTTGGCTATTGACATTTGGCTCCTTTTAACTTACCCAAATTTCTGCAGCCTTGAATTTCTCCCCAGAAAATGGCTTTTTCTATTCTACCACATGGGCAGGCTGAAAATTTTCCAAACTTTTATGTTCTGCTACCCTTTTAAACATAAGCTCTAATTTCAGACCATCTCTTTGAGAATTTATGACTGTACACTTTTGGAAACAGCCAGGTCATAAGCTCTAATTTCAGACCATCTCTTTGAGACTTTATATGACTGTACACTTTTGGAAACAGCCAGGTCACATCTTGAATGCTTTGCTGCTTAGAAATTTCTTCTGCTAGATACCCTAAATCATCTCTCTCATGTTCAAATTTCCATAGATCTCTAGCGGAGGGGCAAAATGCCACCAGTCTCTTTGCTAAAGCATAGCAAGACTAACTTTTACTCCTGTTCCCAATAAGTTCCTCATCTCCATCTGATACCACCTCAGCCTGGACTTCATTGTTCATATCACTATCAGCATTCCAGTCACAACCATTCAACAAGTCTGTAAGAAGTTCTAAACTTTCCCTCATCTTTCTGTCTTTTTCTGAGCCGTCCAAACTGTTCCAACCTCTGCCCATTACTCAGTTCCAAAGTTGCTTCCACATTTTCAGGTATAGCAGTGCCCCACTCTCCTGGTACCAGTTTTATGTATTAGTTCATTTTCACATTGCTATAAATAACCACCTGAGACTGGGTAATTTATTAAAAAGAAAAAGAGGTTTAACTGATTTACATGACCCAGTGGGAGGTAATTGAATCACGGGGGCAGATTTTTCCTGTGCTGTTCTTGTGATAATGAATAAGTCTGATGAGCTTAGATGGTTTTATAAAGGGGAGTTCTCCTGTGCATGCTCTCTTGCCTGCTGCCACATAAGACATGACTTTGCTCCTCCTTTGCCTGGTGCCATGAATGTGAGGTCTCCTCAGCCACGTGGAACTGTGAGTCCATTAAACCTCTTTCCTTTATAAATTTGGGGTATGTTTTAGGAATGCTTTTATTGGCAGAGTGAGAACAGAATAATACAGTTTGTATTTTTTTTTTTTTTTTTTTTTTTTGAGACTGAGTTTCCCTCTTGTTGCCCAGGCTGGAGTGCAATGGCACGATCTCGGCTCACTGCAACCTCCACCTCTTGGGTTCGGGAAATTCTCCTGCCTCAGCCTCCTGAGTAGTTGGGATTTCAGGCACACGCCACCATGCCCAGCTAATTTTTTTGTATTTTTAGTAGAGACGGGGTTTCACCATGTTGACCAGGATGGTCTCAATCTCTTGACCTTGTGATCCACCCGCTTCGGCCTCCCAAAGTGCTGGGATTACAGGCATAAGTCACCGCCCCTGGCTCAGTTTGTATTATTTTATAAAGTAATTTAATTTTTACTTTGTAATTTCACACTATCAGAAATTAAAAATCAGTTTTGCTCTTCACTGTAAGTGCACATTATAGTTGATAAACACCAGTTCATCATTGTATCAAGATGGTAACTAAAAATTCTCAATGTCAAAAGAATTTGAGAAGTACTAACATTGACAATACCAATGGATTTTTTGAATAGAGGTGAGAGTGGCTAAGAATTCAACTTTATCCATCAAATGCAGTCTCCTAATAGCACTTTCACGTAAAGATGATTATTTAATAAGATTACCAAATCTGCAGCAATAAGACTGTCATCAAAAAGAAGCAGTGATGTACTGCAGAAAATACTTAACATATATATCCACAGGTCTCCTGGCTCATGTCTATATCCAATAAGAAGAGTAATAAAGAAGAAAAAAGAAGTATCTGGGCTGTGAATAGATATTAAAGTTTGAATATTAACGTTCGGCATTTACTTGATTTAGGGACTGTCTTGGAAGCCTTCCCATTTGGTTTGTAATTCTATTAGCCTTCGTTATTGAACTCCTCAGTCTTTACATGAGAAGTAGGAGAAAGAAATTAACAAGCAGAGATCGAGACCCCAGGCGTGCCAAGAAGTGACCTCCTTAGGGAAAGACAAAACAAACACAAAACAGACTAGTTCAAAAGTTTTTTGTGTGGAATTGTGAGGTCATTTCAGTGACATATGACATCAGGTATCACTACAATCATCTTTATAAACTGTACCATTCACAGGTAATTATAATAATAAACTCAGGTTATAAAATGTATTGAATATCTCTTATGAAGTTTCCAAAGATGAATGATTCTTATTTTTTTCCCTCACAATATTACAATAAACTGATGGCTCTAAAGTGTATGAAAAAGGAGCTGGGAAGTAGTAAGTCCTCAGCAATGTTAGCTGTTATTACCTGTACCTTTTTATCATCTATAACTAGTTATTATTTGTAACTATAACAAATGTCGCAATTGTAATTTGTCTATGTCTGCTTTGTGCTGCTATAACAGAGTACCATAGCCTGGGTAATTTATTGTAAAACAGAAATTTATTTCTCATAGTTCTGGAGGCTGGAAAGTCCAAGATCAAGGCCCTGGCATCTGGAATCCTCACATGGCAGCAGGCAGGAGGGCAAAAAGGGAATGAATGCTGTTTTGTCACATGATGGAAGAGAGTGAATCCACTCCCTCAAGACCTTTTATAATGCCATTAATTTATTCATAATGGCAGAGCCCTCATGACCTAAACACCTTGAGAAAGGCTCAATCTCCCAACACTGTTGCATTAGGGATTAAATTTCCTAATGCAACAGTGAATGTTAACGGATGTATTCAGACCATAGCATCATTACTTCTTGGCTTGCCTCCACCTTGATAATTATCGGTCTTAATGTCTTCCATTTCATATCAGCATATTCTGATTCCATTCCGAAGGCACAATTAACCCGGGAGTTTTATAACAATCTGGGGTCCATATTGGCCCAGCTAGGTGTTCATTCTCTTATTTTTGTAGCTAAGAGTCAGAAGGACCATATGAAGATTCCTCAAAAAACTAAAAATACAAGTACCGTGTGATTCAGCAATTACTCTTCTAGGTATATATGCACAAAAAGTAAAATAAATGTTTTGAAGAGATATCTGCACCCTCATGTTCATTGCAGCATTATTCACAATGGTGAAGATCTGGCAACGAACTGTTCATTGACAGATGAGTAAACTAAAAAAATATTGTATATGTATGTGTGTGTGTGTGTGTGTATATATATATATATATATATACACACACACATAATGAAATATTGTTCTCATAAAAAGAAGGAAATCCTACCATTTGTGACATATAGATGAACCTATAGGACATTATACAAGTGAAATAAGCTAGACAGAGATAAATACAGTATGATATCACTTATATGTGGAATCTAAAAATATCAAACTTACGGAAGCAGAGGACAGAGTGGTGTCTGCCAGGGGCTGGGATATGGGGAAAAATGGGAGGATACTGGAATATAAATAAGTTCTTGGGATCTAAAGTACATCATGATGACTCTAGTTAATAATACTGCATTGTTTACTTGAAATTCTATAGCAGATTTTAAGTGTCCTCACTACACACACACACACACACAGAATGTAACTATGGGTGGTGGTACATTATTAATTTGACTGTGATAATCAGGATACAATGCCTATGTAATCAAATCATCATATTGTGCACCTGGGACATGTATAATTTTATTTGTCAAACATTTTTTTAAAAAAGAAATACATTAAAAAATGTCTTATAGGTGTCTGTACATGGATTAAAACCACTCCAACTTTGAGAGCCTTATGCAATCAGATCACTGAAGTTGCTTGGTGACTGAACACTTTACTTTTCTAGTTACGGCACAGTTCCGTGTGCCAACAAGCAATTCAACAAATAAGTGTGCAAGGACAATAGGTTGCCATGGAAGCCAGTATCACAATGCCTAAAGTCATCTAGCTCTATGACAGTGATGCATTAATGAGATGCTTCAGCAGTTAGTGTGCTCTGGAAAAGTGTGTGCCTGCAAGGCTATGTATGTTCCCCTCTTAACCCTGAACATAAGAATCTCATTTTGAGGTACTTACTTTGTACATCATCATGTGAGATAAAATATAGATGGATATTTTCATAATGCATCTTTTTTATAAAAAAAGCAGATATTGCAAATGCATCACTTTATTGTTCTTGTTATATATCCTGTGGGTGTAAGAATAATGGTTCCATTAGAGTTTTATGTATCTCCTGAACCAGGGAATGGTCAATTATTGGCAACAATCACATTCCCCACACCTCCCTAATGGCTAGTGGCCCACACTGTAAATTAAGTACAAGACATAGAGCAAGCAGAAAGTGTGGACCCCTGCTTTGGCTAATTTAAAAGGTGTTTCATAACATTAACCCTGCATGGAGAAACTTCTGCCAATTGCCACAGTACCATAGGAATATGTGTAGAGTATGGATGTCACTTTTGGGTGCTGCGTTCTGAGACTGTTATTAACTATCTGGTTGGTTACCAGGATAATGAAGGATGTGGAAACCACACTAAATGGCTGAGTTACTGGTTGGAGGAAATGGGATGATTTTGCTCAGATAAAGGAAAATTAGGGGAAGACATCACAGCTGCCTTCATATATTTGAAAGCCTGTGAAGGAAAATTGACAAAGTTTGTTTTAAATGGACTTTGAACCATGGTTAGAAATGACTGGTGTTCAGGCTCTATGTAAGAAGGAGCTTTAAGATAATTAGAGCTATCCAACAAAGCAATGGTCTACTCTGGAAAGAAGTAAATGGTCTACTCTTTAACATACTATTTCTTTGGAAATGTTCAAACACACCTTGATGAATGTGGTTGTGGATAGGTTTATTATCTAGCAGGAGGAGTTAGACTAGATGAGATCTTGGATTCCTTTTATCTTAGGATTTATCTGACTTTCTCTCTTTTCCTCCTCATGCCTCTGCTGTTTTGCTTTTGCACATTATCCTGAAATAGAAAGAATCTTCAGCAAAGAAACAGAGAGATGGACAATAATATTTCATTCATTTCACAGCCATACCTGTGTAACTTACTTGTGTAAGTTACCCCTATTTGGGAGAAATTCATGGAGACTGTGGATGCTGTTTTTACAAATTGGTTCCTGTAATATCAATAAAAGAATGAATTAAGATCATACCTAATGGCCTCTTGGAGTTGATCAGACCAAGGAGGCTTTTATTCCTATCATATGCTGCAAACCGACTACTAGATGTGGCCTCATGTCACCTTCCTGTTTTTTGACCCTCACTTAACTTCGGCTCAGTGCACCTGGTCAATAGCATAGCCTACATAATCTTAAAAAAAATTGCAGATGCAAAGCATCTCAGAATGCATCCTTTTAGTTCTGGTAGCCTCCTTTCAAACTTTTTGGAATTTTAAGGTAAGATTTATTTCCACTAGAAAAATTGATTGCAGAGTGCTGGTGAGCTCCCATAATTGAAAGTGTTAGGGGTCGCTTGTGAAAGGAGGTAGAGCCGGCAGCTCTGCTCTGGCAACTGAATAGATTTGCTGTTTAGTAACTACATCTTCACATTTGGTGAAATCTCCATCTCTGGCCTTGGGCCAAGTGCTCTCTGAGTTGGCAGAAATGATTTGTTCAGAGGCGATTTTCACATAGCGCATTCAGATTCACTCACACTTAATTGGCGTGGCAATTTTTCTATTTAGGCTGAGTAGAGGCTTTCTCTAGGAGGGCATGGCAATGAGGGGTTGGGATTGTATTATGTCAAACTGTGTGTTCCAGTTTTTGGCTAACGACTGGAAATTGCCAATGTGAACATAGTAGAACAAATGTGTTCTACGAGGGTTTCTTAAATTCATTTCAACTTTGAAAAGACAATGTATGTTATATAGAACATTTTTGGAGTTTCAGGAACTGCAAAATATTTGGAAACCAAGACAAGACCTGCTTAGGTTTTCGGCAAAAATGGATATTAATTGAGAAGTTATAAAGGCAAAGTAATGCTTTGATAAAAACAATAGCAGTGCTGTACTTTCACTACTTCTT